AGATAGATAGACAGACAGACAGATAGATAGAGAGACAGATAGATAGATATATAGATAGATAGATAGATAGATAGATAGATAGATAGACAGACAGACAGACAGGATAGATTGATTGATTGATAGACAGACAGACAGATAGATAAATAGATAGACAGATAGATAGATAGACAGACTGACAGGATAGATAGATAGATAGACAGACAGACTGACAGGATAGATAGACAGACGGACGGATAGATAGATAGATAGACAGACAGATAGATAGATAGACAGACAGACTGACAGGATAGATAGATAGATAGATAGATAGACAGACAGACAGGATAGATAGATAGATAGTTAAAAAGGTACACAATTTAAACAAACTGAATAGAATATAAGATTAAGGACACTGTGCATAAATTAAATCACATTTTAATTAAAGTGATGTCTAGGAAAACCGGGACAAATAAGTAGTCATGTTGCCATTTTGCAGCTTCCTGCAATATTTTTTACGTGAATAGATTAGCATTTGGTTGAGATTGTTTTGGGTTGTAATAAATTACCAGATGATGAGTGCAGATGATTTACATTAAATTTACATTATTCTGATTGCATTAACTGTGGCTCGATAACTGTTGTGTGGTAGAAGCAAATAAGGTTAGTCTGAACAATAGGGTTAAAAAGGTACACAATTTAAACAAACTGAATAGAATATAAGATTAAGGACACTGTGCATAAATTAAATCACATTTTAATTAAAGTGATGTCTAGGAAAACCGGGACAAATAAGTAGTCATGTTGCCATTTTGCAGCTTCCTGCAATATTTTACGTGAATAGATTAGCATTTGGTTGAGATTGTTTTGGGTTGTAATAAATTACCAGATGATGAGTGCAGATGATTTACATTAAATTTACATTATTCTGATTGCATTAACTGTGGCTCGATAACTGTTGTGTGGTAGAAGCAAATAAGGTTAGTCTGAACAATAGGGGAAGTGATTGGATTTGAGGCCTTTAGCAACTGGTAACAATAGAGCCATTTAATAGTGTTGTGCAGAAGAAAAGCCAATCCACATAAACAGCAGGCTAATGAGGGAGGCAGGCCACACACTGGCCTTTTTCAATCCGTCACCACTTTAATGAGCAGAGAGGCATTGTGCTTTTGGCATTACAATGAAGTGTATTTGATCTGATGACTCATTAAAATGGAAACAAATACATATTAATGCATTTAATTAAATCAGTTCACTGTGTGGGATGCAATGTGGTTTAATGATGTACAACTCAAAAAATGAATGGAATTTATTGATTATTGAGGACATCATGCAATTATGGCATGTCTTGACACCTCAGAGGATATGTAGATATTGATCATAAAATATTGTCAATTTGACTGCAGGCCAATTAAAACTAATATATTGAAACATAATAATGTTATGAAGTAACAGAAAAAAACCTTTTAGTTAAATTACAAGCTTTAGGTATTAGCTCAGGCAGTATTTTTGTGCTTTGGATTTTAGAAAGTGATTGCAACACTAGGGCTTATAATTAAATGCCAGAGCTGAGAACAGAATCAGTCATTGAGGACGTTTAACTACATTCACAACAAATGAGATGATGTGAGAATGTTTTAGAATGTGATAAATATGATGTAAACTACCCCAAATATGAAAGAATGCAAACATAATATGGATAGACGCCTGACATAATTTACTCAATCGAGTCGATGTAGCTCACTTCTGCCACCTCTTGGTCATGTTTATGATAAGTGCAGGATTTGATTGTTTGCCAACTGAAACAGACAGAGCCTTAGAAAGATCTGTTAACTGACTGAATTGATGAAGTAGAAAAGGAATTGAAAGAGAGTGTGTGAATGAATGAATTTATTTAATTTATTCATTTAATTAGATTTAATTCATTTAAAAATCCATTAATAGTGAGTCATTTTATGAATTAAAAATATATAAATAAACTATTAAAGTTACATTTTTTTTAACATTCTATAAAAGAGACAAAGAATGCCTTTAAGTGCTATTAAAATATGCTGATAAAAATTTATATCTTGGGATATCAATTTACATAAACATGAGCCAAGGGAAAATGTGACAGCGTGGAACAATATAATTTCTTTCCCAGTTCTCATGGTTGTGATCTATAAATTGGCAGTAAATAGTAGAAAACATTAAATAAACAGCATTTTCTGTCTCTTTTATATGTGAATGGATATGTTATGCGACTGAAAACTCAAAGTTTTATCCAAGTTATAAGTTAATGTGACTCTACAGATGGGAAAAAACACATCTAATAGATGAAAAGTTTTGGTGTTTGGTGTATTTTTTATTTATTTGTAAATAATTTAAATGGAATGTGTATGACTGGCTAATAGCTATATAGACATGTTAAAATGCACTATCAAAATAGACCATTGTTGGATGAAATTGGGACTTCTTTTTGCATTTACAGCAACATTTCATAATTATTTGTGAATTTATGAATCACAATTTTAAGAATGTAAATTTAGCCATTTCAGCATATACCACCTAGTTTTGATAGCTAATTAATGTTTGTAGTTGTCAGGAATACCCTCTGAGTATCCGGGGAGCAGCATGTATGTTAGCAGCCTTAATGATCCCCCTAATGTGTCCACACATGCTTGAAGTGGAATATTCCACCACCGCTTGATAATAACACAACATAGGCAAGGCAAAGCAAGGCAAGTTTATTTGTATAGCACATTTCATACACAATGGTAATTCAAAGTGCTTTACATAAAATAAAATAAAAACAATAATCACAACAATAAAACAAGGAATTTAAAAACTTTGAAAATTATTTAAAAAAAATTAGATTTAAGAGATTTAAAATGAATTTAAGAAAACGATTATACATATAAAGTCATAGCCATATTATAATCAGTAGATTACAGACAAATGTTTTTTACTTGTCTATTCTTCCTACACAAAAGCTGCTAAACTCTCATTAGCTGATGACGAGAACAATGCGGATTTCTGGTGATTTTACGTTTTAATCTTTACACACACTCACATTGATGCATACACACACACATGTAAATTATACCATTAAAGTAAAATAAAATAAAATAAAATATATATTTATTTTTTAACTAATTTCTGGGCAACTCATATGGTTTTTTTTAATCAAGGGAAATTTTAGATTTCTAGTCTAGATTTAATCACTTGTAACAATGTCATGAAGGCAGATCTAACAATTGTTTCTAATTAATTTTTGTTTTTTTAAGCATAAAGCTCACCTAATATTGTTCCATTTATACTCAAATCAAGTAATCACAGTTTGCAGATGGGGTAAGAAAAATAGATGTAATCTTATGCGATTTTATTTCTTAAGTAAATTAAGTAAAATTAAGTAAACATTTTAAGGATGGTACGATATTTTTGTAACCACCC